GAACGAGGGGGGTACGTTGCACTCACTGCTGCTCCAAGCCTTTCACTTGGAACCATAAAGAATTTGGTGGTTTTGCTTCCAAACTGGCCTGACTGCTAGGGCTGTCCAGGATCAGGGCATGGGAAATGTAATTGGGTTGTACGTGCAAAGGTAAGCAGGATAAACAATGAGGGTGTAAAGGCATTTCAGTAGTAAGGATGTTGATCCTGAATATGTGATAGGTGACAAAAAGTAAGACTAATCCCAGATTCTAAGGGCACGTAACCAGATACAGCTTGGAGAAAACAATCTACAGGGCAAACAAATTCAGGTTGGGGCAGCTCCTTCAGGCTGGCTTCCCGGGGGCAGCATCCCGAAAGGGCAGAGTCAGCTGCAGTGTAAATCTGGATGTGAAAACCAGGGCATAAAGTGAGCTTTTGTGGCTTTTGCTCGTTCTTTCTCTGGGTGGATTGGCACACCAAGGGCAGGTGGGTGTCACCTTGCCCGTCCTGACCTCCCTCCCTGCACCCCATAAGCTGGCCCTGTGAGCTCTCCAGTTTACCCTTCATTCAGAGTTTCTCCTATTATTTTTTAATCCTTTTATCCTTTATCCAGGCATAAAGGCTAGAAACCTCCATTTTGAAGGAAGCTCTTATTTCTTTTAACATCTTAGCACCTGAAGCCTTGCTAGAAGAGTGGGGCCATCTCTCCCTGGGGTTGTTTTTCATAGCTTGAGGCTCTCACCTCCCTTTTGGCTCAAAATCACCTGCAAACGGAGCACTAAGTGCCTATTGGGGGGACCACAGGTGAGACTGTGAAGCCTCTCAGCCTGTTTGCACCAGGGAGGTGCTCATCTCCTGGTGGTGCTTGATGATGAGACCTCAGGGGAAGGAGCTTCTTCCCATTGCATGTCCCTGGGGAGAGGAAGGCAACGAGCCACAGGAAATGTGGAGCAGCTCCAGAAAATGAGGTCTGAAGCGTCCTAGTGACCCCAAATTTCTCGGTTCTGGAGGTTTTTTTAATGTCGTGCCAGCTGTGTGATCCTTGAACCCTTTGAGTGGGCAAGGCTGTGTCCTCCCAGCAATGGCAGTGCACTCAGTCCCTCCCTAGGGAGGGAGGAACTGGGAAGTGATCCCAAAGCACACCCCAAACCCTCCAGGAAAGGAGAAAGCCCCCGGGGTCTCTGTCTCAGCACCCCTCTGATCTTCCCACCACACTGATGCTGCAAGCTGGATGCCTCCAGGAGGGTTTGTGGCATCCTTCATGAATGACTCTTGGAACAAATTTGTGCATGGGGAGGAGGATCCAGGAAAAATCCCCTGCTCAGTGCTGTGGACATGGGCTGCTGCACCCAGAAACCATTCCCTGGGTACATCCTTGGGGCTGGAGCCGTCCTTCAGAGAGGAAAGAGGGACATTGTCTTCTTGGGATGGGTTTCTTGAAACTGGCAATTAGCAGCCCGAAAGCCATAATGAGGCAACGGGATCCCTTGTTGCTGGGGAGCAGCTTTTGGCAGACTTCATCGCACTGAAAGCCTTCACCAAGGCAGCGAGGAGGAGACCCTTGCCTTTCTGCGAGGCACCTGAGCAAAATGCTGGGGCTCAACCCATGGATGGCAACTTGCAGCTCAGCTCGTCCGTGCTGCTGGGGCAGAAAAGGTGAGGGCAAGAGCCTGTTGTTTGTTTTGTTTTGTTGTTTTGGTTCGTTTTGGTTTTTCTGTGGGGATGGTCACTGCCTTCCTGCTCCGGTGGGGTTAAACCAGGTGCCTTCTGTGCAGGTATGCATCTCCCGAGGACAAAAGGGAACAAAGGGTTCGTTAGCAGGAATTATGTGCCTGATAACTCCACCAAGCCTGTTTCAGGAAGGTGTGGTCACAAAGCTCCCTGGAGCCGTTCTGTGCTGAGACTTGAGCCTCTGGTGTCTGGTTCCCTGCGTGAGGGCCGGGTTTGTTCCTTCCTGGCAAAGTGAAGCTGGGGGCAAGCAGAACAGCTCGAATCTTCCAGTCCCAGCCTGGGACCTCACCTCGCCTTGGTGCTTCAAGCAAGGCTGGTATGGATGCGATGGAGGACAGCCCTGGAGGGATCCCTGGTGAAGCCCAGGCAGAGCAGGAGTAGGGGACACAGCCAGGAGGAAGGGGACATCTTGAGGGCATCCGTAAGGGAGCAGTAATACTTGGGACGATTCCCACACGTGGCAATAAACCTGTGGGTTGTCCATGTCCGTGGTGCCTCTGGCCCCTGCAGATCTGCAGCAGTGCCAGTCCCCTGCGGTCACCGGTGCGAGCAGGGCATTACCCCTGTGGTTAGCAAAGGCATTGGATGCGCGTGTCCTTGGGGACCTCCACTCCTCCAGCCAGGTTGTGTAAGGCTTAGAGCGGTGCAGGAGCCAGGTAAACACTTGAGCCCATTTTTGCCAGGTGATTGCACAAGAAAAGGACAATCCTGTGTAATTCCCCAGAGCCAGGTGCCTCTGAGCACCTACACCATGGCCCCGAGCTGGGCAGCCTCCAGCAGCTATGGTGGATGTGGGACTCCACGTGTGAGAGGCAGTGAGGCCACTGCAGCTTCTCCTGGGGTTTTTCCTTCTGGAGAAGGTGAGGAGATGGACTGGAGGTCTACAGGAGAGCCAGCACCAAGACTGGGTGGTAGCGGTGGTGTTCAGAGGAGAGCTTTTACCATTGAGAGGTGTCTTCAAGACAAACAGTGAGATTTTTTCCTGTTGCAATTGCTACACCTGAGAGCAATTTTCTGGGCTTTTTGGTGGGTTTAGCCCTGTCTGGAATGGTTTTATTGCACCCAGAGAAGAGATGAAAGGACCTGAGGGCTTCTGAAGAGGAGCTGCCCCAGCTCAGGGCTGAGTGAGGAGGGTTAAGAAGAGCAGAGACGCCTTGGCTTGCTCCATCCATCAGCCCAAACCTGATGGGAATCCTCTTGCAGCCCTTTCCTGGAAGGATTTTGCCTGCAACCGAAAATGGGGAGCGGTGCAGAAAATGAAATGAAAAGTGTATCTTTAACCACACTCAAGACAAATGAGGGATCTGCTTGGGAAACGCTCGGCTGCAGTTAGCGGGGTGCAGAAGGGAGGTGGGCGCTCCTCGTTCCTGCCCTACAGCTGCTGATTTATTGTCCCTGGCGCGCAGGGCCCCGCCAGCCTGCGGGATGTTTCCCATTTGGCACTTCAAAGATGGGTGAACAATGGAGCTGTGCTTCAAAGGGGGACGGCTGCTGGCCGCTGGGACCCGGTGAGGCCACGATGCCTCAAGGAAATTTTGTTCATCTTGTGCTGCGAGGAGAACCAGGATCCTGCCTGCAGCTCGGGGGGTTTGTGCTCCCCGTGGGCATCCTGCCCTTCGTGACCTGTCCTTCAGATGATGTTCTCCTCTCTGTGGGTCCAGCTTGTTGCACAAAGGCAAAATGAGCTGTGTCCCTGTGAGATGTCCCCTCTATAGGAGCCGTAGCGTTGTGCTCGAAGCCACCTCCAGCCTCAGCTGCTGAAAGGAAGCTTTGGGCTGGAAAAGGAGGTTTTTGGAGGTGGGACTGCCTTTACCTTGTTATTGCTCTTCTGGAGACTGAGAGCTTCCTTCTGTCGCATTTTTCCTGTGGTGCACGATATAAAGTCCAACAGGAGTCTGCAGCTGTTGGGCAGAGGGACATTAGAAATGTTAATTTTTTTAATTATATTTTTTGCAGATTTTTGCACACCCTAACTTCTCTCTCTTTCTCTGCCTTTCCACGCCTGCAGCCTTTTCCATCCCTTTCTTTTCTCCTTCTAGAGAGGAAAAATGGAGGAAAACATCCAAAATCTTTTATTTTGGGGGAAAAGAGCAGCTGGGAAATGATGAGCTGAGAGGGCAGGCACCTTTATTCCCTTCCCTCTGCCTTAGTGATGTCTCCTGTCCCAGTGCCAGGACACGGAGCAGGCACTGCCGTCCCCTGTGTGTCATTTTCTAACAAACATTTTCATGGGCAGAAGTCCTCCTCCAGGTTGGGTCCTGCAGGAGTCACAGAGATCCACCTCTCCTTGGGGCTGGGAATCCATAAGACCAGCTCAGCAGCTTATTTGCGTTAAGTCCACTTAATCGTGACTCCAAAACTCCTCTTTTGGAAACCCGAACCAATTTGCTAGATAGTGGAAAAAGGAGCAATTTCTTCTTCTGGTCAGTTGCTCAATCATTTTTCCTGGCGTTCTCCATTCCGTTTTATTTGAAGTCCATTTAGGATGAATGAAGTGTCCAGCTTCGACAGCTTTGGAGGCTCCGGCAGCAGCAGCCCGTGGGCTTCCCAGCGCGTGCACTCACCAGCTGAGCTGTTCTCCCTCCGGCCCTTCTGGAGGCCAGGACTTGATGGATGGGCTCACACAATGAATTAAGCATCGCTGGAGAGTGCGGAGCTGGATTTGGGCTTGCAAGCACGCTCCTCCACGCTTGCCTGTGCTTTGTCCTTTCCCACAGACGTCCTCGGAGGCACATTTGCCCCATTTATTAGAACTGGGGATCTGAGGCAACATGGAAATGTGGTCCAGGGAAAATCCATGTGAACTTAGAGAAAAGAAGCCCAGACGGTGAGTTACTTGCTGAAAGTCCCGTGCTTGGGGAACCTGGACTGTCGTGTGACGTCGCTGGGAGCTGCTTGGCTCTGGCAATGCTTGTGGAGACCGTGGCGGCGAGGGGAGAAGGCAGGATACAAACCACAGCTTTCCCTGATGGTCTGCTGCTCCTACAGTCGCCTCTACTCTGCCCACACGTCGTTAATGGATTACTTATTCCTCCAGTTCCTCGCTGGCTGAGGATGAGCCTCCCCAGACAGTCTCCTCGGTGGCCCCTGTGGGCGAGAGGCCCCCATTTCCATCGGCTGCTCTCAACCACTCGGCCATCGCCGTGCCGCTTTGGAGATGCTGGAAGCAGCTGCCTGGTGACCTCTATCTTGGAAACCATTTCAGTCCGGGGCTTGATTTCCTAATTTCAAAGCTCTGAGCCCACAGCTCCTCCTCAAGTTACAGCTCGGGGGTTGCTAAAGTCCACGCAGCGCGAGCCGCTCATCCAAAGAGAGGCCGGGCTCTGGCCCTGCCTCCCCAGCAGCGCTGTATAAAAGCTTGGCTCTTTGCAAGAACCTCCTCTCGAGCCCCAGCTCCTCTCCTCCCACAGCCTCAGCTCACGGCTTTCGCCTCCCCGAGGGCTGCACAGGTAAGCGAGGATGGATGGAAAACCTCATGGGATGTGTAGGGAGCGGGGCAGGGTGGAGACGGGCGGCCCCACGCCGTGACAGCCGCTCTCCCCACCACAGGACACCATGGTGCGGCGCGTGGCCGTGGTGGGCGCGGGTATCAGCGGGCTGGCGGCCACCAAGTGCTGCCTGGAAGAGGGGCTGGAGCCCACCTGCTTCGAGAGGAGCGAGGACATCGGCGGGCTGTGGCGCTACACGGTGAGAGAGGCTCGGGCCGCGTGGCCTCGCGGGGCTAAAGGAGGGTTTGGGGTGGGGATGGCGGCTTCAGGAGCAGCTCAGGGGAAGGAGCTGGGCAGGTTGAAGCCTGGGGGAGGAGGTGAGGACAAAGTTTGTTGTGGGTGATGCAAAATGTTTGACTCGGGTCAAAGCACAAAGCCTGTAGCTGTCATGCCTGACTTCTGGATGCTTTCCGGAGCTCAGCGGGGATGCTAGACCTAGTCCTGCGCCCGCTCCCCTGAGCTTCTTCTTTCCCTGGCTCTTAAACACAGTTGTAACCAGCTCCTTAGTGCCTGGGGTGAGGCAAGCCCTCCTACCTGGCCCTTTAGGACACGTATGTGCTCTTGGGGGTGATTTGGTTACTGCACCTGATGGCTTTGGGGTGTCTCTCTGGCTCCAGCCTGGTGGTATCTGCAAGAGTCGGATTAATTTTTAACCCGGAATGTTTTGGGGATGGAAAATCACTGGACCAAGCAGGTTCAGCAAATCATTCATCTGCTTGCTCATTCCGAGGAAAGCTGGCAAACCAAAACCCCCGGTGAGACTCTTAATTTGACAAGATTAAAATAAAACACTTAGGTTTTATTTATTTATTTATTTGATGTAAATTACTTCTTGTTCTTCAGTCTTCTTTGGATATTTTTAAGCTGCTTTTAACTGAAAAAAAAGGTCCATTTTGTGGCAGTTTTGTGTGAGTGAAATGTTGCTTTATTTATTGCCCTTTTGGCTTGATAATGACATGGAAATCTTGCACATCTGCTGGATTCTGCCTCCCAGGTGAGTGAGTCCACAGAGAGGTGGTGAAGCCCAAAATTTGTCCTCTCTGCAGGTGTGTGTCCATCCCCTAGTACCACCTGGGCAAAGCCTTGTCCTGAGGGGCATAAATCCCAGCCAGAAATGCCAATAGCATTAGGATAGCAGCTTTGAACCCTGGGGCATCCAAACAAGAGCACTGTGCAATCTTGTACATGTGGGAATCTGCGGTTTTGGCAGGGATCTGACCCTTGCTATGTCAGAAGCTCGTGGCCTGTTGGACCAGAGGCTTGGAGAGCGGATTTAGGGCAGTTTCACAGACAAAATTCATCTTTTCTGCGGACGGTGCCTGGATTTTGTTAATTGGAGCAGTAGAGCAATAAGCCTGTGATATTCCCTGTGTGCTCCAGCCAAGCAGGGAGAAAAATCACTTTGAGCTCTGCGAGTGATGTTTCTGAGAAGAGATGCTTCAGCTTTCAAACAGCGTGTGCCCAAGGTTAAGTACAGACAACATCGTAACTGATGTTTCTGCGAGGTAAAAGCGGAAGAAATTATGCTAAAAAGGGGAATCTGAGGTTATTATGGGGATGTGCATGGCTCTTTGGGATGAAACCACAAAACGTGTGAGCAAACGAGGAAGGTAAGCAAAGGGCTGCAGACCCTCTGGGGTGCTCAGTGCCCTCGGTTCTGGGCTCAGTGGGTGAAGTTGAGCTGGAGAACAGAGCTGGGGCTTACTTGGCCAGGCAGCAAGGGGATAGCAGGGGAAAACCTCCCTCATTCCGAGAGCCAAACATTGTGGTTCAGGCCTCCAAAGCTCTGAGATTCTCCTAGAAGTCCTGGATAAAAACATCTCCAGGTTGGCTTAGTGTTTCCTACACTTGGCTTATGGCTTTCCAGGGTTCCTATGGCTGGCTCCCCGAGCTGTGCTGCTCACCCAGAGCTGGAGATCTGGGCTTTGAGGAGCGGAGGACACCCCCTGGGGCAGCACACGTCCCTTCATCCCCTCTAACCCCAGCCCTCTCCTCATGTACTCCTCCAGGAGCATGTGGAGGAAGGCAGGGCAAGCATCTACCGCACCGTCTTCACCAACTCGTGCAAGGAGATGATGTGCTACCCCGACTTCCCCTTCCCCGAGGACCACCCCAACTACATGCACAACGCCCGGCTCCAGCAGTACATCCGCGACTACGCCAAGCACTTCGACCTGCTGCGGCACATCCGCTTCAAGGTAGGTGCCTCGGAGAAAATCCTTTGGGATAACACCCAGGGGAAAAAAATGTGGGTTTTGTGCAAGCGGGTCTTGCCAGCTTTTTGGTTGGGTGGGGTCAGATAACCAGCTGGAAAAAATATTTGGCGTTTGAGTCTGGGGGCGAGAACGCCCACCTAGCTGCAGATGGGTCCCCTTGCACTGACTTCCCAAACCTCTTTCTGTCTCTCTTTCCTGTAAGACCGTGGTCACCAACATAAGGAAGCGCCCTGACTTTTGTGCTACGGGGCAGTGGGAGGTGGTTACGCAGAGAGATGGGAAGGAAGAGACGGCTGTTTTTGACGCTGTGATGATTTGCTCTGGGCATCACATCTACCCAAACCTCCCCCTAGACCACTTCCCAGGTAAGCGGCATGTCTGCAATTTGTCCACCATCATGCAGACAGGCACACACCTTCTGTTCAAGTGTTTCTTCCCTGCAAAAAATGCCTTTCCAGCACTAAAAAGAGTGTTTTCCTTGGGAGTGCTTTTGATGGTGGGCTCTGTTCAAGAAAGCAAAACCTGTTTTTTAAGAAAAAAGACTCAGTATACAAACTGTGACAAGGCAGGGACACTTTTACTGGAGGTGATGCTAGTCTTTCCTGGAAAAAATGATTTCAGAGTGTTTCCTTTAACAGAAGATTCTTCACTAAAGGGTTTCATAAAACTCTTCTTTTGGCATTTTTCCATAGTTTCTTATACAAAAACTGTGCACATTTTACCATACCTGTGTTTACAGGCACATCATCGAGAAAAATTCTCGATAGTGAGGAATAGTTGGTGCTGGGGGTCTGTTTGGAGGAGGTGAGGGCCTGGGTTATGAGCTGGTCAGGAGAACTCCCCTCAGGTCCTTTGTAACCTTCTGGTTTAGAAATTAAAGTTGCTTCCCTGTCACTTAGTGATGTGATGGCATACCAAGGGGATGACATTGGCTGTTCCGGTGTCTCAGCATGATGTTGGGGCTGTACTTGTAGCTTTTGGGGTACACAAATACCACACCAAGGTGTCCTGTTCTTGCCTGCTCAGGCTCCTCTCTGCTTAAACTCTGAATGAATGCAGAGAAAAAAAACCTGTCCCATTAGAGGCTTGCAGCATCCCTCCATGTGCCAGCGATACCTGCTACTGTGAGCAATGCTCAGACAGATGATCCAGCACCACCTGCAGGAATGGGAGATGCCGAGGCCAGCACAGCTGCACTTTTTTTTCCATTTTCATCCCTTTCTGTCTCCTGCCCCTCCAGGTATAGAGAAGTTTAAAGGCTGCTACTTGCACAGCCGGGAGTACAAGGAGCCAGAGAAGTTCAGAGGGAAGAAGGTGCTGGTGGTCGGCTTGGGCAACTCCGGCTGTGACATTGCCGTGGAGCTCAGCACCGTGGCCTCACAGGTACGGGGACCTGCACCAGGGCTGGTCAGGGCTGGTGGCCATCACGGGGGTGCCTCACCCCTGCCCGGCTGCCCCCCAGGTTTACCTGAGCTCACGAAGCGGGTCCTGGGTGTTGGGCCGCATCTGTGACCACGGCTACCCCTGGGACATGGTGATCATCACCCGCTTTCGGACGTGGCTGGACAGCATCCTCCCCAAGTCAGTCAGCGACTGGCTGTACGTGAGGGGCATGAACCAGCTCGTAAAGCACGAGAACTTTGGCCTCATGCCGGTCAACAGGTAAGCGTGAGGCCATCCGTTCCCAAAGCCACCGGGGGTGTCGGTCCCAGATGGGGCTGGGCCGTGCCTGTCCAGGGCCAGCAGCAGGAGCCTCCTTGGGCTTTCCCCTTGCAGAACATCCCGCAAGGAGCCGGTGCTCAATGACGACCTCCTGAGCCGCATCACCTGTGGCGTGGTGTTGATCAAGCCAGATGTGAAGGAATTCAGAGAAACGTCCGTCGTTTTCCAAGATGGGACCGTGCAGGATGATGTGGATGTGGTTGTCTTTGCCACGGGTTACACTTACACCCACTCTTTCATGGAGGATGAATCCATCATCAAGAGCAGGAACAACGAGGTCACTCTCTACAAGAGCATCCTCCCCCCTCACCTGGAGAAGCCAACCATGGCAGTCATCGGGCTGGTCCAGTCCTATGGGTCTGCCATCCCGACAGCGGACCTCCAGTGCCGCTGGACGATCAAGGTGTTCCAGGGTGGGTGCATGGGCTAAGTAAGGCCTGTTTTCCCCTAATGGGAACTCGTGTTTCCCAGCAGTGATGTACAGATTAAAACAAAAAAATGAGGGCAGTGCCTGAGAGCTGAAGAACATGGATTTGGCACCTCACAACGTGGCAATGGGTGACTTGTCATTCCACTGCAGATTGCAATGAGGTCCCTGTGGTGGGACAACTACTTGGGCATCACCACACACCCTAAGGGACAGGGTGACAAATTTTGTCACATCTCCGATGCCCAAGTACGACCAAAGCCCAGACCTTGATTCCAAAGGGAAGAGAAGCACCCAAGGACTCAGCTGATCCCTACAGACCCTACCTGCTTTAGGAAGGATCTCTGGGCATCACCTCCCTTTGCTAATGCTATTCCTGTTCTCCCCAGGTCAGTGCACCCTCCCGCCCGTCAGCAAGATGATGGATGACATAGATGAGAAGATGAGGATGAAGCTCCAGTGGTAGGTGCAGCATGTGGGACTCCCTGCCTGGGGAGGAGGAGAAAAGGGCAAGGGGAAGGCAGCTCCTTGCCAGGAAGCTCTTCTGAAATGCCCCCTTCATGTCCTGGATAACTCGACCCATTTTTTTTCAGTGCAGGAAGCCCCAGCCAGCTTGCTGGTGTTGGTTCACAGTTTTCCACCCACCCCAGGGAGGCCTGAATTGGGCAAGTTTGGGTGGAAATTTTGTGATGGGAAAATTTCCTGTATGGAAATGCTGGTTTGCCATTACCGAGCGTTATCAGTCTGAAATAGCTTTTCTCAGTGAGGCCCCAGCAAAACCAGAACATCTTCCTCATTCTTCCGTGATGTTTTTTGTTTCATACAGTACATGGAAATGCCTTGCATTCCCCTTCCTTAGCATATCTCATGTTATAGTGAAGCAACGTGGTGAAAATATGAACATAGTCAAAGCTGAGTCTGGCCCAAGAAATGTTTTCTGTTTTTAGAAACAGTTACGTGGCAGGAAGTTCCAAAGCACAGCACTGAGGTGAGAGCCAGATCCCTTCACCAGCAGCGGCAGCGATGCACATGGTGCATGGCCATGTCCCAGCCAGCACCGCTCCACATTTTTGGGGGACAGATTCTGCCTTTGTCCCCCTTCTCAGGGCTCTGTGAGGGAGCACATTCCTTGTCTCTTGCCTTGATATCATGGAGGATGGCAGCTATGGAGCAGAGAGCTGTCTGTTCCCTGCCAACCCCCTGCACCATTTTGACCCTGCACTGAATTTGTCTGACTTTACGGAAGGATTGCTCCCTGCCCACCCTTGCTGCTGCCACGGAGTCCCCCAGCACAGTGAGAACACAAGATGTCATATCAATAATAATAACAGGGGGAAAGCTAAAGCAGACCTTTTTTCCCTCTCCCCCAAAGGTACGGGAGCAGCACCACGCTGCAGACCGATTATATCACCTACATGGACGAGCTGGCCTCAGCCATCGGCGCGAAGCCCAACGTGCTCAAGCTCCTGGTGACGGACCCGCGGCTGGCCCTGGAGGTCTTCTTCGGGCCCTGCACCCCCTACCAGTTTCGGCTGACGGGGCCGGGGCGGTGGAGCGGGGCCAGGAGAGCCATCCTCACCCAGTGGGACAGGATGCTGCGGCCCACGAGGACGCGCATAGCCCCTGACGCCCCCAGCCTCTTCCCCATCTCGGCCATGCTGGGGGTGCTCTTCCTCCCGCTCCTCCTCCTCCTCGCTCTACTCTACTGGTAGGGGAGCGATGCAGGCGCACCAAGTGGGGTTTGTGCACGGGATGCTTTCTCCTGCTGGCCACGCAGGGAAATGTGTGCTGCTGCTTGGCTCGTTACCCAGATAATTCATCAAGAGTTTCCTTTAAAAGTTAAAAAAAAAAAAAAAAAAAAAAAAAAAAAGCAAGCTTTGGTAAATCAGCCTCTGTGCTTGGTGAATTGAAGCGTTCTCAACTTTTTTTTTTCAGTAGCTATGAAAGAGTATAAATTCTGGTCCCAGTAAGTAACGCTGGTTATTTTATCCCTCTAAATGTGTTCAAAGTGTGATGCAGTGTCTTTAACTCTCCCTTTGTACAGTCTTTCTCTAGTGGAAAGACAGAGACAACACGTTTGCTTGTTCAAGAGGCGTTTTGGTGTAAAGCTTGTGCTCTGGGCGAAACAAACCTGCCTGAATTGCCCCTTTTGGGCAGTCATTTCCATAGCAAGTAAAGAAGAATATCCATGTTCTTCACCAATGGGGAAAGATGCGCAAAGGTGGGGGAGGAACTTGGATGAAAATGATGAGAGGAAAAAATACTTTGGTGTAAAATGTGGGGTAAAGCCCCCGAGCCCGAACAGCATCTGGCTTTGCTGCAGAGTGTGGGGTTCCCCAGGGGACAGGCACAGCTGGGGCTGTGTAGCCCAGCACCCCCACTGCTGTGGCCATGCGATATTTAGCAGACAGCAGCTCCCGTTTCTGCTGCCTCAGCAATATCATAGCTCATTTTTAGGAAGGACAGATGGGTTTCTCATGAATCAGCTCAGCTTTGGCACGGGCAGCTCATGAAGGCGGTGGTCCTGAAGCATGCAGTGAAGAGGAGCACTGGGCTCAGCCCGGGCTGTGCCTCCTGGCCCAACGCATACGACCAGCTCTGTCACCGTCCCCAAAGCCTGGGTCTCGGCAGCCTGCACCCCAAGGTGCTCTGAGGGCTCCTTCCTTCTCCTTGCAGATATTACAAAGTTCAGGGGGCAATATTTCTGAGCCCCCGAAGGAATTCAGCCCATTTGGCTGGCTGGGCTGAGGGATTTGGGGCTGGACACGTTAGTGGGGCTCTCCCCAGAGGCCAAGGAGAGCATGAACCCCATGGGAGCTGAGGGGATGGTGCTGGCTGTGCAGGCTGGTCCTGTTGGTGCCTTGTGGGCCCTGAGGCCACCACAGGAGCTGCTGCACTGTTTTGCAATGCTGTGATCTTCCGAAATGTTTCCAGGGGAAAAAAAGACACAAGGGTGGTTATCAGCACACTCAAATGCCAGTGATGTGTCCTGCAGAGCAATGCTAGTCCCGCTTCAGGCCACAGGCTGTTTCAGATAAGAGGAAAAAATATTTTTACTGTTCATTTTCTATCATGAATTATATTACTTTTTTATTCCAAGCCGAAAGTTGAGCCATGCCTCAGGCTTGGTGTAGGAAATGCATAAGCCACTAACCTCTATTAAGAGCAAAATGTTTAAACTAATAGCTATGGGCATTAAAACTGAAAATTGCAGTTCATGCATGAATTTTAGGAAGCCCTTTCTTTTTCCTCATTGTAGTAAATGAAAAGTGAGAGGTGGTTTTTCACATCTCTGTAGGCACAAAACCTTCCTCAAAGGCAAAGCCTGGAATTAAACATCTGAATGTAGGCTGGGTAACCCAAAAGGAGAAGGATTGTTGGTTTCACCAGGAACACTCTGCAGGTGCTTCTGAGCACAGGGTGGCTGATCCCTGGGGGAACAGGAGATGAGTCTTGGCTCCAGTCCTGACCAGCCCATGATTTGCTCTCTGCTCGGGCTTGCTGATAGCAAATAGATAAAAGCCTGTGCCCAGCTGGGTCTGAAGTCCAGCCAGTTCAGTCTGTCTCACTTTTGCCTGGATCGGAGCTTTTTGAGACATAATCAATAACAGCTTTGTTGTCTCCTGCTGTGGGGTTGGTGCTTCTCCCCTTTGACATGTTGGTGAGATGAAGTTATGCCTTGGAAGTCTGCGTAAAAGTTTTGTTTTTGTTGATGTTGGTTTTGTGTGTGTGTGTTGTGCAACTTCAACGATTTCGCAATCTGAGCACAGCCACAGGAGCCCTCCAGCAAGGAAGGACAAGGCCTGGGGTGCAGTGAGGAAGCACTGGAGAGCCAGAATTGCTTTAGAAATGGCAGATGTGTGGTGGCCAGCAGGGAGATTCACCTGTCCTGGGTGTGATTTGGGTCAAGACACTCCCAAGGAGAAGTGAGGCCAGGCTACAACAGTGCTGAGCAGCCCTAAAATCACTGGGACCACCTGTGAGTGCTCAGCACCTTCTCAGACCAATTAGCAAGCCAAGCCAGGAGCTCCTGTACCAATTTAAGGAAGATGCCTTTGAAGTGATAGAGAGGTGATGCTGTGTAATCTCCTCAAATATATCCAAATGCTGCTAGGGGGCAGCTTGGCTCTCCTGTGGGGGTAAGAGAAAAGTTGGTGGCCACTCTGAAGGCAAACACACGGGTCTGTGGGAGGTGATGGGGGGTGATGGGGTCTTCATTACCAGGGGATTTCAAAACAGGTGAGGGAAACAAGGAGGAAAGGAGCTGCTCTGGAGGGGAAGGTGGGTCAGATGGTCCTGAGGTCCCTTCTTGTCCTGTGGGCTGCTGAAGCTCTTGGAGATGAGAGAAGATCCCTCACTGGATGTGAGTTAGTGGGGCTGCCAGTGCCTGTGCTGGCAGCACTCAGCAGGTAACTGGAATGGTCTGAGATGGGCACATTGCTTAGTGTTGGGAGGTTTGTCCTTCTAAAATGCATATTTCTGCAAAGGAATGCATAAACAGAGCTCCTAGGTGGGGCCTGAGGTGGTGCCAGAGCACGTCCCTGCCAGGAGGAGGATTGCTGCCGTGTCCCCGTGCCGGCAGTCAGGAATGTCAAACACCAGCACACCTCCCCTCGAGATGCTCTTGGAGTGGCTGCAGGAATTGAAGGCATTTAAACACCCAGCTCAGGAGGAAGGGGGGAAATATTTACAGGAGGGGGCCCACTGACTTCACCGAAATCTTAAAAACCCTTGAAAACCAAGGTGGTGGTAGGACGGAGCCTTCTGGTTGAGGTCTGTGTGGCTTAACCACCTGCTTTCCAGGCAGCTCTTCCTTATGGTTATTTGCCTTTTTTTTTTTTTTTTTTCTTTTTTTAAACAAGCGTTATATTTAAATACAAGCCCTGTTTACTCCAGCAATTCCTTCAGTAGATATTTGTTATTCCTGAAATGATGGAGACAGAGTCCTGAATGCTGAGGGTCGGTTCAGGAGGCTGGAGGAGGGTCCAGAGTCCTTCCTGGAGCTGCGGGTTTTTTGGGTGCTATTTGGGAGCTTACACGTGTTTATCTGCTTTGTGCTATGGTACAAGGCCGTGGCAAGAAAGGGTGTGTGTGCTTGTGCATCCATTAGGGATGGTCTTGTGAGGATTTTTTAAGTTTTCAGTGGAAACTCTTAACTGTAAATCTTAAAACCTCCAAAACAAGGAGCTAAAAGCTGCTTCTCTTCTGCCTTCACCCGTGCCACAGGAGGCAGCAGGCTTAACAAGGGCAGCAGCTTCTCCTTGGCAAAGTCCACAGGCTGCACACGTGGAAGATACGTGACTTATTATTAAATCAGGTCAAATTTGGCCAAGTATGCTGGAGTAAAACACTTGTGCCCTTCTCGCAGGGCCTCCTTGCCTGATCAGCAAACTCCTTCCCGCTCTACCTGCTCCAGCCCATGCCTGCCCTGGCACATTCTTTGGGTCTCCTTCACTGTGATGCCTCTTGTGAGAGTTCAAGAAACTGAATGTACCTAGTTCTGATAAAAAGAAACATAAATATTGTGCTGGTGCTTGTTGCTGCTTGCTTTAGTGTCCTCTCTATGCTGGGAGCAGTAAAGGAATCAGGAGAACAGCCTCTGCCACTTGATAGTATTTATTATTATTATTATTATTATTATTATTAGCAGAAAAATCCCCTTTTGACCTTGGGGGCAACCTGTGTGCTCCAATGCATAAGCAATTTTTCAGGGTCAAAATCCAGGCTCTAAGAAATTAGGAAAAATGCACGGTGCCACCTGCAGCCTCCTCTCCCCCCAATGTATCCTTGTGGGATGCAGCATCCTCACTGCCACGTGCAGTGAAGGAATGGGATTTAAGCCTTCTGCTCGGTACTGGGAGGCACTCTGAGCCCCTTGAGGGCAGTCTAAGTGCCATCCTCTTATAGACGTGGGATTCCCTCAAACCTCTGAATAAGGGGAGCAGAAGGGAAGCGCGGACCCATTTTCTGCAGCCTTCAGAAAGGTTTGTGGACAAGAAAAGACTGCCTTAACAAGAAACTCTTTGTTCCTCTTCCCCCAGTGTACTCCGAAAGCTGGTGTCACGAGCCTAGAAAACAGCCAAGTGGGCTGTGCTCAGACTTGTTTATCTGTAGATTTGCCCCTCCTTGACTTAAGATGTTATTTTAAGCAGAGATGATGAAAACAGTGCCAGGGGGTTGTAGAGAAGGAGAGGACAAGAACTTGCTCTACTCCTTCCCATCCAATTTAGCCCAATTAGGTCGGTTTGTTTTTTCCCTGCCCTCTCTTTCCAGCATGCAGAGCCCACACGGTGATGGCCACTGGCATCCCACTGAGTGCAAGCAGCTGGGATGCTGGCTGGGAAGCCAGGGAACCAGGGGCACGTGAAGAACAAGATGTTTTCCTCTGTGGATTCCCTACTTCTTCTTGCCAAGTGTGTGCAAGCACATCTGCAGCTGCAAGATCTCGTAAATCTGGGAGTCTGGTGGGAGGGCTGGGAGGTGCAGCCTAGGCAGAACCCCCCTCCACCCCCCCACCCCAGTTTCTTTTTAAACCTTGGTTTTCCTAAAGGCACAGTCCTTCACCAACAGTCTTGGCATGACCTCCTCATCCATCTGTACTTGTTTGCAGGCGTTTCGTGATTTCTTTCCAAGTCACCCCTAAGTATATTGAGTAGCTGCGGGTGAAGCTGCGTCCAAAGCCACCCTCGCACCCTTCTCCATGATAATTCACCCCAATTCAATCAATGATAATTGATATTTTAGCAAGCATTTACACCTTGTGAGTGTGTTTAGGACCTCGCTATACTGGTGTCTGTGTCCACTTTACATTCTCCTGGTTAGCTGGGCACCACCATCTGGATGCACTCAGGATGCCTCCGGACCACTCCAGTCCTTCCCACCACCATGATCCCCTTTGGCCATCACTCATCACCACCACCCCAGTCTCCTGGCACACGGAGGTGCCACCACACCTCCCACAGCACACCCGGGTTGTGCAACCATCACGAGAGCACCACGTGTTGCCTATAAATCCCAGCCGGAGCTGCTCCACTCGTGGCAGCAGCAAGAGCGTAGGCAGATGGTCCTGGGAGGTAAGGGGAGAGCCGGCTGCGTCCGTGCACTTCCAACCCTCCCTGCACAGTGAGGCGAGTGGTTTGCTTCCCATCAAACTGCTGGGGTTAACCCCTGAGGCTGTTTGCAGGCAGAGAATGGAAGTGTGGCAGCACCAGGCATGGGCAAGCTAAGGCAGGGGGTCCTGGTCGTTATTTCCAGCTTTTTTGCTCTAGGGTAGGGAATTAAATACCATGCATAGCTGAGCCGTGCTTGTGATGCAAGTTAACTCCTGACGTGCAAGAGGGAAAAAAAGGAATGAATAAATGAACAGCTTACGATAGCATGCTTTTTTCTTTTCCTTTTAAACAGAAAAAGTCCAGTTTTCATTTAAAACGGAAAGCCAAGTATTCTGAAATCTTTACTAAGAACTGAAATTGTTCATGAGAAATTCAGTGTTTTGTAGAAATGTGTCCAACACCACTCATCTACTGAAAGCTACTTGCTGGCAACTACGCCATCCTTTGTAAGTGCCACTGTCCCCTGGCAGCATGTCCCAGGGTGGTGCCACCAGGCTGGTGACCCAGCTGAACAGCACAAATCCCCAGAATTGGGGTCGAATCAGAGCTCACAGCAGCCCTGCAGCTGTCTGCCTGTCTGTCTGTCCAGCCCAGAATTCCCCAGAGAGGCAGCTTTGGGAGGCAAAGCATCCCCAAAGCTGTATTGTTACAACCTCAGTCCCTGCAGCCGTGCCAAAGCTGGTGGCATCTTCCCCAGGGGACAGAGGACGGGATGCAGGGGCTGGGAGCAGCCCCCATGCATCTTTGGCTCTGTTTCCCTAAGAAAGGCGGTGGCAGGGCTCCAAAGATGAAATGCAAACGTTTGCAAGGCTGATAAGCAAGGATAGTTTAAGTAAGACTCTGTAAAAACTGGCAGTGGCTTGTGGCTGAGCTGCAGCCTCACAAAGCGAGTTTCCAGGGCAACTGCGGGGCTTTGGAAGCAGCCTGGCTAGCATGCTAAAAGGGGATGGGTTTATTTAAATACATATACAGAGAGAGAAGATGAATGTCTGAAGGCCTTTATTCTAGCTTTTAAATTAAGAGCTGGTAAAGGGAATGAGAGGTTTGGGGTGGCCTGTGGAGGGGTTCCTCTATAAAGGGTGGGCTGGGGGCTGGGCAGTGCTCCTGGAGATGCCTGAAATGGCCACAACCACTGGTGGGCTTCCTCCTGGGTTTGTCCCAGAGGAGACAAGCCTCTACCTGTTGGTCATCAGCAACGCTTCCAAGGAGATGTCTCTGACTCTCCCTACCCCAAGGACTTGCTCATGTTCATGGCCAATACTAAGCGCATCAGGTTTGGTGGAGCAACGGGTGTCTGGTGCCTCCCAGCTCCATATGGCCATCACACATCCATCTCACCTTTCAGACCACCATCAGCAGCACCAGGAAACACCTCAGTTTTGACACCATGGGCCAGTAGGATGTGGTCACAGAGGTGGATGAGAAGGAGATGTCCTGCACTGCTTTCCCTGTACTGCTACCTGCTTGCAGGCAGTTGGGAGGAGAAGTGTTAGATGCTCCTCAGAGACAATGCTTTGCTCCTCATGTTCTTGCTTGTGCCCATCAAACCTCTTGGCACAAACACCAGTAGGCCCTCATGCTTCTGCGGCCTTGTTCCTGCAGGCACTTTAAAGTAAATGTCCAAGGTTGGATGCTGCAGCTTCAGAAAGTGGAAGCTCCATCATCTGCCGCAGGGCTGTGCAGGCCTCACAGCCTGGTAAATGTCCCCAGCTCTCAGCACGGAGAGAGCGGCCTTGTCAAGGGTTTCTGAAGCCACATCTGGGAGAGAAGACATTTGTTGGCTTGTCTGAACCTCTGAGAGGCTCAATGCCAAGGCTGCACCCAACTTTTTTACAAGTATCACGTGTGTGTCTGCTGCACAGGGATGTGTGAGGCCTCATTTTGGGGGGGAAATACCAGCTGTGTGTGTGTGAGATGGACGGTTGGGCCTCCCCAAGTCCCTCATGGCCATCGACTGAAGCTTCTTGCTCTTGCCACCCTGATTGTTTCTGCAGCACTCATCCCTACAAAAGCTCAAGCAATTAAGTGTTGCTTCGCTTTCCCCAAGGCATCAAGAGGCTTCAAGGCCGGTGCTTTCACAGCAGCACTGTTTGCTCAAAGCAAAAGAAAAAGTGAGAAGAAATAAAACCAAGTGCAACTTACCACATTTACAGCAGAGGCTAGACACCAAAAATACCTGACCTAGCCATTGTTTTATTCACTTGCACTGAGCTGATGTAACCTTTGATTTGATGCTGATATTTTGCATGTTGGTGATGGGGAGAAATTAATTCAGGGGACTCAAGACTAAAGCTTGCCTGAGGAGCTGGGGGATTTGTGATGGTCCTGAGGGACTGAGAGACAAAACAGCAGGGAAATTAATGGTAATAAATGCAAATTAATACAGCAGGATTTAAAAAATAAAAAATAAAAATATGTAGACACAAATTATCTCACCTCTCAGCACAGAGATCTGAGTCACCATGAACAGTTGTCTCAAGGCATCAGCATGGGGCAAAAAAAAAAAACAGTTTGATGAAATCCTTTGGAAAAGGCCCACCAGGGTGCAGAGGGGGTTTGGATGCAGCTCATGGGTGATTGATGCACATTTGTGCCAGAGGCAGGATCACTCTACACGTGCTCTGTGGTGGGCAGGATTTTTGGACAGACCCTGTCCCCACAGTGCCTGCCCAGTCCTTTTCTAAGAACATCCCAATTGCATTTGGGCACAACAGCAGTGCAGATGCAGGGCAAGTGGTCCTTGGGCTGTTTTCAGCTCACCCACAGCTTTGTAAACCTACTTGGCCAGTGATGGCAAGCAAGGCTTTGCTTGGCACAGCCAGAGAGGAGCCCAGCCCTGCCCCAAATCAGCTGGGAACTGCAGTTTTTGGAGGCTTTAGTCCAGCAAGGAGTTATCTGGGCTGGGCGCATAGCTCAGGCTGTCCCTTCCTCCAGCATTAAAAAGCCCAGGCTGGTAGAACTGGTGCATCTTTTAATTTAAGGAGCCCTGGCTGCTGGCCTCACTCCTACCCCTGGTGTGTGGGATGGGGATGGAAATGCTCCCCTCACACTTTTTTTGGCTGCCTCTTGCCCCTCCAGGCTGGCAGGCGGGCACAGGGAGATCAGTGGCCGATTCCCCGGGGATGCCCAGCAAGGGGGGAGGACACGGAGATCCCCAGGCACAGACACGACCCCGGCGTCACGGGTGGGCGTCCCTGCAAGCGCAGCGCCTTCGGGATTAAGGTCCAGGCTGTTGTGCTGGCAAGTGCTGGCAGCAGAGCGGGTGTAAAGGTCGGAGGTGCACGAGCTGTGCGAGCAGGGCCAGGCAGACTTCTGCCTCGCCTTTAAATCCCTGCCTGGAGAAGCTCCAAGTGAAACCCGGACGAGCCCCGAGCAGCAAAGGCACAGTGAAGGTTTGCTCTGAATTTCCTTGCAGCTGCATTTCGTGTGCTGTGAAGCCAGCCAGCCCCTGCTCTGCTGTCTCCAGTGGGGTTTGGCATCGGGGGTGGCTGCTCCCCGTGGGTGATGAGGACAGGCGAGTTTGGGGATTTCGTGGGGACGGAGCAGTGACGCAGGCTGGGAGCCGCTCACTTTGCTACGCGGGGTTTGTGCCTGTCCCTGCAGCGTGGGTAAGCTGCAGCTGGACGGGAGCCTTCGTGAGTTTGTTCAAGTCTCTTGCTTTTTCCGGGAGCTTTTCTCTGAATTTTTGCCGTTTCCTCTAACTCCTGTTTAAGTTAGCTTATTCTTTGGCATAAAATTGTCTGAAAACAATGAGCCTTTCTTGAGACTTTGCAGTAGGAGTGTTTATTATCTAATCAAAGTTCACATAGGCTCATATTTTTTTTTTCATTCCTCTGATTTACACTGAAGCTCTGCGTAGGTCAGTTTACCCAGCCTGAGCTCGGAGTTCGTCCTGCTTGGAGCCTGCATTGCCCGAGTTTCTTTCCGTGCCTGTTTGGTAACACAAGCAGCACTTCCACAACACTGCGCAACTTTGGAACTGCCACTCCATGTTGCTCAGGCATCACCATTATTTTTTTTCTAAACCTTTTTTGTTTTCAAGATAGCACCATTTAATGGAAATTAGAAAGGAGAGCATGAAAACAAGTCAGCCCAGCGGAAAACATTTTTTAAAGCTCTACCAAGAGGGTGACTTTTGCACAGGCAAAAGGGTTGCACAAACTGCTCACAGACCGGGTGATGCCCATAAGGGATGGGGATGGGAAGAAGCACGTTTCTGCTGATCCCTGGACAACTTTATTCCCTGTTTGTCGTGCTCCATCCCTTTGCCACCCGCAGGACACCATGGTGCGGCGAGTGGCCATCATCGGGGCCGGTGCCAGTGGGCTGGCGTCCATCAAGTGCTGCCTGGACGAGGGGCTGGAGCCCACCTGCTTTGAGAGGAGCGAGGACATCGGGGGGCTCTGGCGCTTTGCTGTGAGTGGGCTCTGCTTGGTTTTGCCCCCTCCCCATCTCCCCTTTGCCCACAGCAACAAGGAGGGGGTGGCCATGCCCTCGGGAACATCCCTGTCCCAGAGTCCTGCAAACCCTCTGTGCGACCACTGGCTTTAAACTCAATGCTGACCTCATCCTGCAGCCACCAGCAGATTTTGGGGTGCTGGCCCCTGTTTATCGCTCACATCCCTGTGCTGACCCGGAGGAGGAAAGTCATCCCCTGTGCATCCACAGATATCCCTGCTCGCTTCTCACAGGACAACGCCGACAGCGGGAGGGTCAGCGTGTACCGGTCGGTCATCACCAACACCTCCAAGGAGATGTCCAGCTTCAGCGACTTCCCCTGCCCCGAGGATTTCCCCAATTTCCTCCCCCACGGCCTCCTCCTGGAGTATTTCCGAATGTACGCCCGGCACTTCCAGCTCCTGCGGCACATCCGCTTCAAGGTAGGCTGGGGCCTGCTGCAGGGGGGCCACGGGGGGCTTCAGGTGCCACCATCACCCGGGTGGGATGGGACAACAGCCCCACGAGGGCTGCACGTCTTGTGCATCCTGAACACAGGCTTTTTGGCTCCGTGTTTTAAGTTAGGCTGCTCAAGCAGGGGCTGCCCCATCCCGTGCCACCTCCAGAGGGAAGGTGCAGGTCTGTTGTAGCAGCTTCAGAGCTGAAACCAGGTTCCTGAGGGCCCGGCAGCCTCAGCCCTTTGTGGGCAGCTCCTTTCTGAAGCTGGGCACAGCTTCTGACCGCAATTTTATCGGGTTTTGGTGTAAGACAACAGTTCTCAGCGTGAGGAAGCGCCCGGATTTTGCCACCTCAGGCCAGTGGGAGGTTGTCACCGAGACCGAAGGCGTCCAGGAGTCGCACGTCTTTGATGCTGTCATGGTCTGCACAGGGCACTACCAGGTGCCCCACCTGCCCTTGGCTTCTTTCCCAGGTGAGCCAGAGCATGTGTGACCCTCACAGAAAGGGATGTGGGCATACCCAGGAATGGGAAAAAACTCCTCGTGAAGATGCACTGGTGCTCTTGCATGAGAATTTGCAGAGCAGGACCATGATGAGGTTGCATAGGAGGGTGGAGAGGGTGAAAGCATCACTATTAATAGAGGGGCTGAGATCTCTACAGGCTTTGCAGCATTTGGCCGCAATGAGAGGTGGGGAGCAGTGGGTCCGGGGCCAGGCACGAGGCTGGAGCAAATGTGTCTGGTGGTAGGAGATGCCTCCTGCTCTCTGCCCAGGCATCGAGACCCACTTCAAAGGCCGATACCTCCACAGCCAGCAATACAAAGACGCGGAGGCTTTCCGGGGAAAGCGGGTCCTTGTGGTCGGCATTGGGAACACTGGTGGTGATATTGCCGTGGAGCTGAGCCATGTGGCTGCGAAGGTACAGAGCTATGGTGGCAGGGGCATGAGGAAATTGGGAGGGAGGATAAAACGACCATTTTTCTTAAAGCTGAAGTTAGCAACACCCACCATGGGGATGTTTCCCTCCCCTCTGTATGGTCCCTGCTCAACCCTTTCTTGGCATTCAGCTCTTTTCTTCCCTCCCACCACTCAGCCCTCTGATCAAGGCTTTGACACTGCTTTATTTTTACCAAACACCTCCCCAAAACTGCCTACGAGCACTCAGGAGATACTCCCAGTACCCGCAGAAATGGCACCTTTTGCTCCCCAGGGGCTTTGTCTCGTGAGGGACACCAGAAGATGTGGCAGCAGGGTGTCCACACCAGTGATGGTGGCTGCGACCAAGCTTTGTCCATTGGGTTTCTCAATAAACAGACCTTCAAATTGAGGCCAGTTGAAGAAGCTCTGCAATCCCTGGAGAATTTGGGCCACCTGGGAACATTGCAAAGGCCACCATGAGCTGGTTCACCTGGACACCGGCTGCTTCCCTCAGGACTCAGCTCCCAAGCACAGGAGCTGGGATTTGCCATGTGGGGCAAAAATGGAAGTCAGGCCTCTGGGCAAGAGGCCCTCAGGCCTGCCTTCTCCGCCAGGTGTTTCTCAGTGCCAGGAGCAACACGTGGGTGTACAGCCGGGTGTCAGACCACGGCTTCCCCTTCGACATGGTCAGCACCACGCGCTTTAACCACTTTCTCGAGTGGCTTCTCCCGTCAGCCATCATGAGAAGGATCAAGTTTCGGAGGTTCAATTCATGGTTTAACCACGAGATCTACGGCTTGGCTTCTGTTAAAAGGTGTGTGTGATTTTTTTTTTTCTTTTTTCTTGGTTAGTTGTTGATTCTTAATGGTGTGAAATCATCTTTCACTTTGGGGGATATTTGCAGCATAGCAAACCATTGGAGAGGACTTTTTGGCCCCCCCTGGATGCTAACATTTCTCTCCTTCTCTTTCTCCATGTGCAAGTTCCAATTTTCATGTAATTATCAACGAAGAGTTGCCATTTTGCATGCTCTCTGGGACTGTCGTGCTGAAGCCAAACGTGAAGGAGTTCACCAAAACTTCAGCTGTTTTTGAAGATGGGACAACTGAAGAGAACATCGACGTGGTGCTCTTTGCCACAGGCTACATCTTCTCGTTTCCCTTCCTCGAAGAGTCAGTTCGCAGCCCCCTCAAAAACAACCGTTCCCTCTATAAATGCATCTTCCCACCCCAGCTGGAAAGGCCGACCCTGGCCATCATGGGTTTGGTGCAGCTGACCGGCTCTGTGATGGCAGGAGCAGAAATCCAGGCTCGCTGGGTGACGGGCATCTTTGCAGGTGAGAGAGGGGCTGCAGGGATGGGGGAGATGCTGGGGAGGGTGGATGGGTCAACCTGCTGCTGCCCTTGGCACCGTGCTGGGCATTGCCACATCAATGCTGACAAGGCTCTGGGAGCATGGAAGGGGTCAAAGGGTTGCTGACTGCTCTGCTTATGGTGCTGTGCAAGGTCTCTGGTCTCTTTGCTCTTCTCAGGCGCGTACAAGCTCCCTCCTGCCAGCAGGATGATGGCTGATGTTTTGAAAAAGCAGCCGCCGGTCAAAAGGTGCGTGACACTGCCACACCTCGGGGTACGCTGTGACAGGCCTTTGCTTTTGAAAACATGTCAAGCTGGGCAAAGTTGATCCTTTCTCCCACTAAACCCTTTCTGCTGATCTATGGCTTCTCCAAGCTGAGCTCTGGGATGAAACAACCGCCCTACAGCTTCCCCAGGCCCCACTTCAGCTCTGGGGGGCTGGAGCAGTGCTGCCCCCAGATCCCTTCTGCCAGGCCTCCATGTCCTGCCCTTGTTCCCGGAATCTGTGTGGAGATTTGTTTTCCTCCAGACAGAGGGTGCCATCTCGTGGCTTCTCCCTCCCTACTCCAGGCAGCAGGGAGCATGAGGCTGAGGGCCCAGATCCCTCCCAAAAACCCACTGGAGCGCTGTCAGGGACCAGCTTCCTAGCTCAGCCCAGTCCAGGTTGCATTTTGGTGGTGACAAGCAGGTTACAGAGATAAAGCAAATTTCTACCACTTCCCTGTGCCAGGACAGCTGCTGGTGACCACCACATGAAGGCTCTTTGGGTGCCTTTAGGTCTCTGTGTCCCTACAGCAGGGACAGGCTCAGAGAGCGTGGCTGATATGTATCCCCTGCAATGTGGTGGCTTATTCAAGTCCAGAGCTGTGAACCGAGGTGGAAACACACTATCTGATTTTCTTTATTGATTCTATATCCCATGGAAGGAATCCATCCGAGCCGGAGAACTTGAAGATGAGTTTCATTAACTACACCTCTGACATCGCTTCGTGTGCTGGCGTGAAGCCCAGCGTGCTGTGGCTGCTCCTGACCGACCCCCGGCTGGCCATGGCCGTCTTCTTCGGCCCCTGCACACCCTACCAGTACCGCCTGGTGGGACGGGGACGGTGGAGCGGGGCCAGGGCCGCCATCCTGACACAGTGGCAGCGGGCCTTGAAGCCCTTGAGAACTCGGGTGGTGGAGGACGGAGCCTCCCCCTGCTCCTGGCGCTGGCTGGGTCTCCTCGCCCTGCCCGCCATGCTGGTGGTGGGGTTCCTCCTCTCCAAATCTCCCCGTCCCGGGTGGGTCCCCAGGGGGCTTTCCCTTTTCTAGAAGGGACTGAAGGGGCCGTGGGGGGTGGTGTTTGGGGGACCACGGACTTCTGCCACCAGCCCTGGGCCTCCGGAGGGCTATGGGGAGAGGCTGCAGGGCTGGTGAGCATGGGGCCAGTGCTTCTTCTGGGGGTGATGGGCAGCTTGTGGGGTGGGCAAGGGTGGTGTCGGTTGATTTGCTGGGAATTGATGAGAGGCAGGAGGCAGAAATAAACCTCAGCGAGCTTTTAATGTTTTTAATGCGAGATTTTGCTGTTTTGGGCAACGGGTTGGCTATGAGGGGCAGGGGGACGGACTTAGAGCTTTGCACCCCGGGAGCAGCGAGGAGGCAGAGACCAAAGGCCGGGGTGTGGGGGGGCATCCCCGAGGGCGAACATGGCGGCGAAAATCCCCAAAACCCCCAAATCCACCCCAATTCCTTCCCCCCCCCCCAATGCGGCAGGGCGGGGGTCACGTGGGCGGGCGGGCGGGCGGGGCCCCGCCGTTCGCGCGCGCGCTCGCTCCGCCGGCCGGCCGGCCGCGCGCGCGCGCACGCGGCGCGGTGACGTCAGACGCCGTTGGCGCCGGCTTGGCCGCCCGCCATCTTGGCCCCTGTGTGGAAGCGGCTGAGGCGCGGCGCCGGGAGCGGCCGGCGGCCTTCGCCGGAGCGCGGTGAGCCCGCGGGCGGGTTGTGGGGCGAGGAGAAAAGAACAAAAAAAAAAAAAAAAGAAAATAAGAAAAAGAGGAAGAAAATAAAAGGAAATCAAACCCGCAGCGGGCTCCTCGGCCCCGCCAGGTGAGCCGCGGGAGGCCGCGCTTCTCCCCTCAGCGCTCCTTGGGCGGCCTTGAGGCAGGCGCCGGGGGGGAGCGGGCGGGCGGCCTGCGCCTCATGGCCGCGGGCGGGGGCGGCACGGAACGGAACGGGACGGGCCGGAACGGAACGGAACGGAACGGGGGGACACGGGAACCGGGAGGGGCCCCCGGGCCGCTGCTCGCCCCGCCGGGCGCGGGGAGGCGGCGCTGGGCCCACGCCGGCCGGGCCCTGGTGCCGGGCCGCGCCGCATCGCCGCGCATCGCAGCGCAGAGCCCGGGGCTGGCCGCGCCCCGCAGCGGGCACAGCGCCGGGCACAGCCCCGGGGCGGCGGGAGGGGGCTGCGGGCTGCTTCCCCGCCTAGGTAGCCCCCTTTCCTTTACCCAGCTCTTCTTATCCACCTATTTCTCCATCCCTTTACCCTCCTATTCCTCTTGCCTCCCGGTTTTCTTCCTCCTTCTCCACCTATTTTTCCACCTATTTCTTCCCCTCTTCCCCACCTATTTCCCCGCCAATTTCTCCCCCCTTCCTCACCCATTTTCTCCTCTTCCTCACCTATTTCTCCACCCATTTTCCTCTTCTTCCTCAGCTCTTTCTCCATCTATTTTCCCTCTTCCCCACCTATTTATCTTGACCACCTATTCCTCATCCTCCCCTATTTCTCTTCCCCACCTACTTCTCCCTCTCCTTCCCCACCTATTCTCCATCCTCTCCTCTTTCCCCCCCACTTACCCACTTATTCCCCTTACCCATCTATATCTCCCCTCACATACACACCTATCTCCCCCCCCTTTCCTTTTCAAAAAGCTCCGCATCCCTCCAGGGAGATTCCTCAGGAAACCATCCCCTTCAAGCTTTTGCACTCTGTGGCACTAATTCTTCCTCCACAACCCCCCAGGAAATGAGAGGTTTTCCTATGGGATGCTGGAGGCACGTGCAGTGCGCCACACTGGGATTTTCTGACTCTGAAATATTTATCCGCAGCTCTGGAGACACGCAGTAAAAGGACTTCTGGATTATTTGACTTAGAACTGCACGAAGCACCTTCTGGGAAGGTACTGTTTTTTCTGCTCCTAGGGACGAGATTCGTAGGAATGGGATGAACGTGACCAGGGTGGTTTTATTGATAGCGCTTGAAATGTGGTGTGAGCAGAGGTAGATGACATGGCTAAAATTCAGGCAGCCAGCCTGGTGTAATGGGAGCCATCACCCAGGGATGCAGGGCTTGAAAATTTGGGGGCAAAGGTGGCCCAGCCAGTTTCCAGCTTGGGCCCTTTTTATGGGGGAAGGGGAGCCTGCATGAGAGCCTGGTGCTGGGAGTTGTATGGGACACTGTGGTTTTGCTGTTTCTGTCCCTTTTGTGTCTCAGGCATGCATTTCGTAAGCTTGTCCCTTTGTGAAAGGTCTTGAACTCTTTATCATTGAGGAAGAAGTGTTTTTCCTTATCAGTCTTTGATTACTGGAGTCAAATGGATGTGCTAGTAGAAATAAGCATTATTTCCAGCAGAAGGAACAGGATTTTTTTAATAGCTTTGTTTCTTGTGCAGAGGGACATCAGGCTTACCCATTGTTTAGACTTAAGAGCTCTGCCTGGACAAGAAACTGCTTTTTAAGGGGGGAGGAAGTGGGACATGATCTCATTTGTCCATCAGTGAGAAACAAAAGGATGACCTTTTAATGCTGGCTGCCAGGAGCTGAATGGTTGTCAAATTCCTTTGAATCATACAGCAGAGAGCGTTTTTCTTCAAGATTAATTTTGGGATGTTTTAGTGCAGCTCTGCCACAGCTTCCTCCTTGGGACTAAGGAACCTGTAGGTTTTGAGAGTTCTTTGAACTTGATGGATGCTCAGTGAGGAGAGTTTGTCCCTTAGATTATTGTGCTCCATGCACGAGGATGTGACCAGTCTGAGGCAGGTGTGTTATTAAAGGTGGCGTTTGAGCTGAAGTGGGATTGGCATAGACCATTGCTGGAGTGCAGAAACTTGTGTTTGTCTGTCACCTGGAAAGCTGCCTTAGTATATAAATGTTCTATACATAAAGTATTGCTTTGGTAAGTAACAGAGGGTAAAATGGGTGTTAATCAATATACAGCCATTTCTGTGAGTCTTGCTGATACCAATCTCCAAAGACACAGAGTATTTGTAGCAACCTATAGTTTCTTTGCTCTACTTTAGACTTCATAACTGGAACTCTCCCTTTTTGTAGGGAAATCTGTTAAAAAAAAAAAAAAGTTCAATTTACAGCTCTAACTTCCTTGTTGCTGGAATCCCTGTTTTATGGCACAGATTTATTGCATGCAGCATCTTTAGGTCCTATTTCTCCATTTTCTAAAGTCTACCTGGGAAAGTGAAATGAGCCACGAAACAGGGAAAAGATGCTGCTGTTCAGAAGGGAGCTCTCCTTTAGGTGCTGTTTGTTTTAATGAGGATTTTAGAGCAATAAAGTGAAAGAATGAAAGCCAAAGAAGTAGATACTTTGTAAGGGGTCCCCTTCAGCCAGGTGTCCTGGGTTACTCAAAGTGCAAGCCACATTGCCAAGGAGCAATTCCAGAACATTCCCCAAGCCGTCTATGGGAGTGATGTGACAGTGGAGAGAGGATGGAAAACAGCCTAAATACCATATATGGGTGGTATGGGTAAGAAGCTTAGATGTGGAGATAGAAATAAAAAGGTAGCTCGTGCAGAAGGACTAAACCCATGCACAGCATACTCTTGCAGGGGAGCAAACCCTGGTATAGTGTGTTGGAGGCAGGAGTGAGGGAAAGAAATATTCCTCTGTGATCATTTGTTAAAGGAAGAATGGGACTTCCTTAGAGGCCAGATAAGGTAATGAAGGTTGGGGGGGGCTCCACCCTGAAAACGCACCACATTTCCACTAGCTGGGGATGGATGCTGGGCTTGTAATGACGGGACTGCGAGTGGTGTTTTACTGGTAGAACCAGTTGATCGTCTTCTCCGGTGAATTTTTTCTATGCTCAGTTTCATTCCCTCGTGTTTTTCTTCAAGACAAGGTTTCACAAACCCCATAGAAAGTTCCCATGGGTGAAAGCAGGTGCAAACAGAAAAGCTGAGATTTTTATGAGGAGGTGGGAGGAAATAATACCGTGTGCATGTGTTTGTGAAATGAAAATGGAAAGGACAGAAGTCTTAAAAAATGCATAAAGAGCAGAGGAAGATGAAGTCCTAATAAAAATCAGATGAAGACAGCTTTTATGTCTATGAAGAACAGGCTAACAGAAATAGACTGTTTTTATTACAAATACTTCAGCCATTACATAACATTCTAACTAAATGCTAACGAACTAGTCTGTTACAGATGGCAAACACGTATTAAAGCGAGAAGCTTTTCATCACCATATTTTTTGTGTTTATATGTCTGACATTGTCTCGATTAATGGTGAAATTACAATGCGGAATCGCATATCTGAAGTATGATAATGGTAAATTGTTAACTGATAGAGTTTTAAAAATATGGTGAGCTATGTTTTCAGGGGCTTACAGTATCGGAGACATGAATTACTGCACTTTATCCTGCATCAGGTATGTCTGCTGCAAAAGTATCGGGTGAAGAACTGTGGAATCACCTGATGCTGCGTAACTGAGAGAAGAGATCTCTAATTTGGTGACTTCGAAAGTGAAAGGGCAGGTTTACTCAATACTTAGGTAGCTGGGATATAAGTTGTGGCTCAGCATGCTCTGAGGTACCACATGGATTTCCATAGCAAGACCTTCAATAGTTAGGTCATCTACTTTTACCACACTACTTGCAACAAATTTTCTTTAGCCAATATGAATAGTAAGTCTGAAGCAAAGGTATGTCCTAGAAAGAGAAACTTGCCTTTGGCTTGTGATATGGTGACAGGATTAATTTACTGGAGTAAATAAAGAAACAAGCAACTGAAAATGTTAAACTTCTTCTGTAGCCATTTGGCAGATGGAAACTGCTATGGAAAATGGGTTCCGTGATGCTGGAGGACAGATACGTAAAGCTGAGTATGCTGATACAGCTTTTGTAATTCAGTTCATCTTTTTTAAAGCATGAATCCGGTCTAAAGATGAGGGCTGAAGTTGCCCTTTAATTGACCACTGTTGTCCAATACTCTTGTCAGTATTCTTTTCACAGTTGCTTCTCTTACATGCTGGGTATTCTTGAAGTCACAGGATAGGGATAGTTTCTGCTCAAAGAATAATACTAGTGAGTCCTCTCATGGAAGAACATGTAAGCAGAGATCAAGGGAATAACAGGCAGCTGGGAGAAGAGACTGAGTAGTAATGAACTCAAAGCTGGACTAGGCCAAGGTTTCTGAAGGGGCAAATTCTCCTACCTTCTACCTTTGTATGCACAAGAGTCAGGTTCTGTACTGATGTCAACAGTGATTTTTGGGCTTGTACATCTGGCAACCCTGTCTCTAGCTGTCATGGTGAGAGTATCTGTGATAGTCTTAAAGATAAACGTATGGCACCTCAATATAGAGGAGAAACTGACGTTTTTTGATCTATGAATCAGTTTAGGAGTATGGTGGGAGTTACAAGCAACACAGATTTGGGGTGTTAAGGTGGTGACAAGTAGCTTAAGACATAACACGACTGAGTAAAGTAACTGTTACTGAACATTTTACATCATGCTAAGGGTGTACAGAACTCTATAAAATGGTTCGTTCTGCAGATTCCTACTGCTCACGGGGTTGCTTCCATCTTGGGCTTGCAGTCTTCAGTAACAGAGAGATCTTGAGAAGGTGAATGAAAAGATGTTGGAAATATAGCTGGAGAAGAGGAATCTATTTTGGTGCATCTATTTTGGAGAGGAATGAAGGTCTTTAGGAGTTTATTCCCAGTGTAGCTCTTGTACACTACCAAATATCCTGGAAGAGTTCATGAGCAGAACAGCTTGCCTGAATATTTCAGAGCAACATCTAACTGATTTCTAAGCTAAAAACCTTATTTAAGTAACACAAATCATTACATTTAAATGTGTGGATAGGTGCTTTGAAAAATAAGTTTAGCTTAAAAACTGACAGATTTCTAATTATTTTCAGCTAAGGTCAGGTATATTTTATAGGTGTGGAAAGGTTTGGTATGGAAAGAAATCTGCTGCTACAAATGAGTTGTGTTTCCTTGAGATGAACGCTGAAACTGAGCAGTGTGTCTTTCTTGTCAAGAAATATTAATTATTACTTGGAAATTGTGGTAAAGGAGCAGGAAATGAAGGTATTGAAAAAGATCATTTGAATTATTCACAGCGAGAATTGGCTTTATGTTTGTCTCTTAATAAGTCCTCCCCTATTCCATTGCCCACGTCAATGTGGGGTGAGTAGGAAGGGCATAGGAAGTACGTAGGAGGTCTAATTTGGCTTTTTAGAAATCAGTAGCAAGGACTTTATCATCTAAACCTGGTAACTAACTGGACCAGAGAGGCAAAAGGGTGTTCACCAGTTTAAATGGCATCATGTCAGAGCTTGTAGGGCACTTACAGTAAGAGTGTTACAACAAAAGGGAAAAAGAAAACAGTGAAGAGATGGATGATTATTAAAAGGCTTCAACTTTTGCTCCTTATTTGAGTTAGGAATCTGGTTCATTGTCATGTACCTATCGATTATCTTTTGTCAGCTTTCTAAAAAAAAGTGTTTTGCACCAAACAGTGTGACTGTTTTGCAAAATTGACCCTCGTTGAGCCCAATTCTTGTTTCTGGTAATTTATCCCAGACAGCTGTCTGCAGAGGAGCTCATCCTGCACACTCTTAAGCCTGCACCTTCAGATCTGCTGAAGCGCAGCTGGAACAGCAGAGCTGTGGCTTGCTGCTGCTCTGTATGTTTAGAAATGTCAAAGAATCCAGTCATGTGTGGAGGCTTCTTGTTGATACCCTTTTACTGTAGGGTGCAAGCAGTTCATTCTTATTCTTGCAAATGGGCCCTTCAACCCACCACTATCATGAATTCTGCTTGTCCTTTGTAGTCTTCTGCACATCTGAATCTGAGCATAGCAAGTGCAGAGCAGTGCTGACCGTTCGAATGTTTTTAGCGCTGGTTTGAACAGGCACGGGAGCATCTGTATGTCA